TTATTATTATTATTATTATTATTTTTTTTTTTTTTTTTTGGGGGGGGGTTGTCTTTTGCTGAGTAGTAAAAGTCAGTGAATACAGCCCATGTGGCCAATGCTTTTTTTCACAGCATGTGACCAACACCAACCATTGACCACATAACAATGAAAGCTGAATGACTGAACCATGTGCCATGTGTTTTAAAGGTGGCATTTGGCTGGAAAGATGAATTGCTTGCAGGTGCTCTGTTTCAAACTTTAAATGGGACAAATCTAAACAGAAAAAATTGCTCTGCAAGCACTTTTTTGTATTACAACTTTGTACCAATTTGAATCATTCAAATTTGGTACAAATAGTTTGTTCCTATAGCTCTATAAGGGAAGTCCCAGTGCACAAGACTCTGGCGAATGCAGGGCCGGGAAGTCCCAGTGCACAAGGCTCTGGCGAATGCAGGGCCTGGGTGAAGATCAGTTGTACAAATCTTATTCTCACCAGCAAAGAGACTACTTCTGTGGTTTGAACCCTTTAAGTCAAAACCCGCTCTCATTTTCCAGTTTTCATTGACACTCATTCATGAGTTTAACATTTGATTCTGCAATCAAGTAAAAATCCAAACTAAAGCACTTTGATTAGCTAAAGGCTAAAGGAAAGAATCATATATCAGCATTTTAATAAGTAGAGGGTATTAAATTATGCACACAAAGTATGTAGTATTCCATTAAGGATGCACTAATAATTGTAGAGTCCATCTAAACATCAATATGTGTAGAGAAAAGCATGTATAACTTTATTATAAAACTGAATTTATGCTTAATATATGTAATCCCAAAATATACATTTAGCACAAAAATGAAACAACTTCAAATATTCACTGTTCTTAATAACATTAACATTGTTCCCCAACTATAACAATAGAAATGAAGATTAGAGAAAAACAGTAGTCAAATTTTACAATAATGAATAGTAAATTATCTCAGTAGAAGGCTAAACATCATAAATTTAAGGTGAGTCTGTGTCTATCAAATGCTATTGATTTCAAATATAGTTATTTCAATTCACATATGCCCAAAAAATACTGAGTTCCTGCATGGGAAATTCTACAGGTAGATAAAAATGCTAATGTAAGTGCCGGATAGAATAATTAATGCCATAAAGCCTCATGTCACTTGCAAATTTTTTTTAATTTTCTAACTTTGGTGGATTACCCCAAATCATTGCTTTTAAGTACAATCAGGTGGAGTTTTTATGGATTACACCATATCATCATCTTTTAAGTACCTCTCTCTGTCTCTCTCTCTCCAGCTACTTATTGGCCCCATCAATGATCTTTTAGATTGTCAAATTAGATTGTTACCTGCACCCTTCTAACAACCACTTCCAAAGTCCTATATGGTTTTCTTCAGTTTCAATCACCCATTCAGATTCTTCCTTATCCCCTTTTCCAACAACTTTCATGAAAGAACCTATTGGACCTTTGTCTGATATGCTTTCATTATCTTATATGACCAATCAGTGAATTAAACTGATCCAACCAATGAATAAGACAGCTATTTATGCTCTTCAGGTTCAAGGCTTTTGATTACAGAATTGAAAGCTCTACCACTTGAATTTGTCTTGCAGCATTTCTCCCTCACATGGTGTAGATTAGTAAGTCAAATCTTTCTTTGATGATGAATCATCCTTTTTGACTGCTTAATTTGACTAATTTTACTTCTACTGTAATCCACTTCTGAAATTGAATTATAATCACGTAAAATTGAGTAGTCCTAAGGCTTACAACCTTATTTATAGTAGTAAAAACTCCTAATTTGACTAGGAAAGGGAAATAATAGGTAATTTTGTAACTAAACACTGAATAATTAAGAACATACAAAAAATTATTAGAAATGACAAAATTAAGTTAAGCTAAAATTTTGATACTACAAACTAAAAGAAACTTGTCAAAACAAACGACAACCAAAACAAATATTACTAGACAAAGTAATTAACAAAACAAAATTTCCTAAAACGGCAAATGAAAAATTGATGGCCTAAATGATGGAATTGGGCCAAAATCAATCGTTAGCCATAACAAGGTGGTGAGTATTGATCGTTGGGTTTTCGGGTAGAACATTGGTCTTTTGGAGCAGATCCAACAGCATCAGAAAGTAACAGAATTACCTCTTCTCCACTGGACGATCTTAACTCTCTAAATACCTTAAAACCATTAGCTCTACATGATCTCTTTATTGATGACTCCTTTTATGGCTATCTCATTGCTTAGATAATTGACTCTTGATCTTAAAACACCACTTCACTCTAATGTCTTTGGAAGAAGGCTGCTGTTTATCTATGTCTAATTATGAATATTTGATATTTTCATTGCATTGTGGTAGATTTCATTTCTACACAAGTAATGATCATTTCTTCTGACTACTTCATTTATATTACTACCTAACAGAGAGGATGTTGGGTTTCGAACCTAGCAATGAGCGTGGACTTACAGGTCCCTAACCAATGGGAATACCCTTATGCTCACCCCAGATTTATGTAAAATGTGTCAATTATTTTGACTTCTAAAGACATCAAATGGTTCATTTTGCATACCTTCCCTTTTTATTATTCTGGATCCCAAACCCTTCACCATTGGACAAGTTAGAATCCTCTCTGCCTGATGAATTTCAGTGTGTAATCTTTTATTAATACCGTATATGCTCTTAGTTGACCTCATGGCCGTGCACCAAAGGATGAAAGAGGAAATGACCCAAAAAAAAAAAAAAAAAAAGATATTAGGATAATAATCATATAACACATTTTAACTTCCCAGATGATATCTATTAGTCAAACTATAAAGACGGTGGGAATTTGTATATTGCATAATCTTGTAACATTCTAATAATATTGAAAAGATTATATACTACTTAATTGTGTCAGTTTATCTACACACATCATTGCATGCAAAGAGTCCTGAATAAATTATGAACTTTCCAGCAATAATTTCACCTGAAAAATGCTCCTGTTGTTTGGCATTCAGGTCAACGTCATTAAACAATATTACTTGAAAAAAAATCATGGACCAGATTATGATCATTCAATCAGATATGGACAAGTGAGAAATGTTGAACGTGGCTAAGTTAGAGCCTCTCCAAGTTATAGCTGAACTAGAAAGAAGTTGAACTAGTTACTAACTATTCAGATGGTACACATGATGACCAGAAAAGTGAGTAGCAGCAAGCAGCCATGCCAAACAATATTATTTGCTAATTATAATACAGGAAAAAAACTATTAAGAGAGATTTAATTACGAGAGGACAAGAGCACTTCCCAACAGGAGGATGTTTGTGATATTACCATCAATAGTGGGACACCCACCAACTGGTTGGTGCAATTGAAATTTTGGGCAAGTTTGAAAACAACCTATCTCAAGCAAATCTAAGGTTTCATAAAGCATACAAGTTCAATACTTTACAAACCACTGGGGTTCCTTCATCCCTAAGATACGAAACCATCCAACTGCATTTCATAAATTATTTGAAATGATTACCGACTTTCTCACAGAACTTGGAAAAGGAAATTAAGTTTTATTGATTGTATGAACAGAAGAATGACTGTTCTAGCTAATTATGAATATCAATTCACACTTTCAATTTTGATTTTTTGTAACTATTTTCATAATGACGCTGCTTTGTTTCCAACTGATTCCATTGTAAAGCTGGTTTTTCCTCTCTAATTCGGGAAATAGTTCTCGTCACTTCAAGTAATAAAAAACCAAACAATATGATTATTTCCATTGAATATTTGTGCTCTAGCATCATCTTAGACCAAGCTTACATCAAAGTATTAGGAACAGCTCAAGGCTAGGAATGGATGGCATTGGATATGTAATTTCATAAACAAAGAGAGCTTCTTGTTAAAGAAGGAAGAAAAACTGAAGAATTTCAAATGAAGAACCTTTCCTGTGGAAGATTATGATGTATCATAAAAATATCGGTCAAACTTTTGCAATTATGGAACTGTTGGAGAAGACAATAAGCCTAACAAGCCAAAAGAGTAGCTATATAGGATGCTTAAGTGACGTAGACCCAACCTGGAAACTAATATGACTCAACAATTGCAAGACCATTCAATAAGATATTATAAGGATTCCTATTTTTGTAGTGCATTTCACCCTTATAATGTCCTTACCCTAGACTTGTATATAGACATATACATGTTGCACCAATTTCAAGTACACGGGCTATAGAAGAAAAGGGCCCTGGATATGCACTGGACATAGAAACATGCAAGACAATCACATTTTTTGTGCACGATTGACGCGTTGTCCTTCTTTGATTGAATAGCATTCAAGTTTGTCATAATAATGTAAGTGGACCACTGACCATATAAATAAAGGGCACAAACCAAGGACAACTTGTAAAAGCAGAGATCATTAAAATGCCCACTAAGCCTATTACCATTTATGAAGGAATAGAATATAAAAAAATATTAGTTCATCTAGGAAATCAGTGAAGCCAACAAGCTCAGAAGTTTATTTTGTGGGGAAATCCCTGCTTGATTTTTAATATGCTCAAATTTTAAACTAGAGTTATGACTTGTGACAGATGCGAGGGAAAGTGATCTTGCTCAAAGATCACTTGCATATACTTATAGGGTAGGACCAGTATCCAATATGATACAGATCTAGGAAGTCATGCCCAACACAGATCAGTGATCACTTTTGAGGAAAGGAGCTGATGCCGGTAATGTGTTGGCTTCATAGTTGTACTACAAACTCTGAGCCTCTGAAGCAGGCAGCAAACCAAAGTTTATAAACTTTAAGCAATTTTTATACTAGCAAGAAACAGACAAGTTGTGGAGATTATTATCAATTCAGATGTTCAATTGAGCTTTTATCATAGTACAGAATTGAATTGCTTGGGACAAGGGTGCAGTTTATCCTCAACTCACTAACTATACAAGCATCACAAAAAATAGATAAAACAAAAACAATAAAGCAAATATTCAAAACTTCAAAGAACACCTTTTCCTTGATGCAGTCATAATGCTGATCCAACTGAATCAGATGAATTAGAATAGTATTCTGATCATTGTAGTACTGTAAATTTCTTACATAGACATGTAACATGTTGAGCAAAATCCTAGGATACAAGTAATGTCAAATCAATTCTAACCTTAGCAGTACTTTATCCAAAGTTTAATTCACTTTGTGAGGTGAAAAAAGAGAAAATTATTGGGTACCAAAAGGGCGTCACTTGACATTAATATCCTACAGCAATTATCAATTGTCACAACTAAGCAAAACATCAAAGTTAATGTGATGAGGCCCATCGTGCAAACCATTCACACTCGAATAGGACACCACGTGGAAAAGACAAGTGTACCTAAAATTTTTTTGACAAAAGGACTCAAAGTAAGCTGAAGACAAAAGATCGTACCATTTTAAGGACCAATCAACCAATAATGCTCCAACCACTAGATTTCATGTTGGCGGAGGTTCACTGAAGGAACTTTGTACCCCAGAACTGAAGAGAAATACCACTGAAACAGCAAGGATCCACAGCAAGAAACTCAGAAACACAACTTGAGTTTTAGTTAAAACAAGTTCAGCAAACCGGTCTTTCTCTTCGGGCAAAGCATTGAATTCCCCAATCACTACTTCGATCAATGTGTCCAAAAGCTTCTTACACTGGAGATCAGCGCTGGTTGAATTCATAACTTGAATTCGAGCTTGCTTGAGATGATTCACCACCATCTCTGCCTCTACAGCAACAATATCGATACTATTTTTTGTTTCAGCAGATCTGTAATGGCAGACTGAGACATCAGCGGTAGCTGACGACAATGGAGTGAGATCAGACAGAGCAACTGTCTCAGATGAAGGCGAAAGCACTGGATTCAGCGATGAGATGAAGCTCTGAAATAGAAACAAGCTGAAATTCACTCTCAAAACGTAGAAAAAAATTTACTAACAAAACAATGCCTGTCAATCAAAGAGTAAGCAATATTGAATTTCGAATTCAAGAAGGCAATAGCGATCAAGCAACAGCGAGTTGTGGAGTGAAGGTGCTAAAACTAGTTCCAAAATCATGACAACAGAACACGAATCAATTTACCTCTGCGGATTTATCGAATTGATGATCCTCAGAAATCTCCGAGAGTGAAGAGAACTCGATCGAGCCTTTCGGAGATTTGAATGAGACATCTTCTGAAACCGATGTAAATACAGAATCCAAGCACTTTTTGCTAATCTGCGAGAGTAGAAAATCAAATCAAAGATTCAGAACTTTAATCCACATGAAATTGATGTATATACATTACATTTTGAGAGAGAGAGAGAGAGAGAGTTGATTATACCTTCTGAGACTTCTTGGTGTGATCGGAGATGGACTTGGATCTGCGATTAGCGTGTTGTTGATGATGATGGTGATGATCCTTCTTTGGAGTTTGAAGCTGGTAGTCTTTCATAGCTCTCTTTGATCACTCTTTTTTGGCGGCAGATTTTCAAACTGTGTATATATATTTACACGCCAAATACCAAAGCAGAGATGAGAGAGGTTAGGGCCCAAGCTGAACATCTGATTTCAGAAGACAACTTGACTCGAACGAAACCTAACCGTCCGATCATTTGAAACCACCTTAATAATTGGGCTGGGTCTCGACTTTACGTAGTTCGTTTCACATTTTACATGGGCCAGATCCAAACCAGTTCCACCTTAGGGGCACTCTATTTGAACCTAAAAAATATTTTAGTATGTCCAATTTAAATTTATAAATTTTAATTCTTATTATATGTTAATGTGAATTTACTAATATGGACAATCCAATTAAATCTTAAAATAAATATTTTTTTTCTCATGGTACACCCTAATCTATTATTTCTATTTAAATCTCTACATCTTCTTCCCCAAGAGATCAAAGTTAATTTATCTTCTTCTTCTTCTTCTTCTTCTTCTTCTCACTCCAAAACTCCAATCCACCTTACTGAAACTCACCATTATCATTAATATCATTATTTTTTTTTATTATTTTGAAACCCTAAACCCTAGAAGAAAGTATGAACAATCAAACAATAGAGGAAAGTGATAATCAAGATAATATTTTGAAGTAACCCATCAAAGAGGAGGTAAGTATTCATATAAAAATCAAAATATAATTATTAATTTATGTATTTTTTCACATGTCCCATTATAATGTTAAATCTTTCAATTTTCACAATCATATAAATAGCATTATAGCTTCTCCAAGTCGCAACAGAAGCATTAATTTAAATATAAAAACCAAACAGCCTAGGTTGCTATTTATGTCAAATATGTAAAAGGAGATTCTATTGTAAGAATTTATTTTTAATTAGGCTGTCATTGACTATATTTTGTTTGGTTTATGAAAAACGAGTTGAACGTGATTCAGATAGATTAACTGGTATGAGCCCAAAATTATTATTGTGATCCATGAAGTTTGAGCCATGGTCTTCTTAGTGTATATATTATTTGAGCAATGATAGAGACCCCCTTTTTGGAGGACCCCCACAACTCCCATAGTGATCCATACCATTTATGATGTGGACCCCACACATACATGAGTGGGCCCCAGACATCATGAATGGTGCGGATCACTATGGGGGTTGTGGGGGTCTTCCAAAAAGGAGGTCTCATTCATTTTTCATATTATTTTATATGTGGATATGTGATATGTGATATGGAGGTGTAAGGCCTGTTTTAAGTTATTTGAATTCCTTAATGGGAGGGCCCAGTAATTGTTTTATTTAAGCCCAGTCCCCTCTCCTATCCTTATTAGGGTTTCCATATGTTTATATATATGTAGATCAAAGGGTTGTCAGTCCCATTGAAAAGACAACAAAAAGATTAGGAGGATGGGAAGAGCTGGTGCTAAGGTTTTCTAATTGTGAATGCCATATTCTTTCAAGGAAGCAAAACTCAACACAATAACGGACTCAAACGGTATGTATCTAAGTTTATATTTTAGTAGTTACTTATATTCATAGTGTTTTTATTTCTAGTATATAGATCCTATAATCTTACAAGTGGTATCAGAGCAAGTTTATACTAGAATCAAAATCATGGCAGATTATTTCAGTAAAATTATTTTATATAATGATAAGGAATAAATTAATATTTCTTTTACTGAATGATGCTTTTGCATCTCAAAATTGTGCTTTAGTAATTTCAAGCAAACTTTTTAAATGTAATGAGTACGTACTGTTTGAGTATTGATAGTTTGCTTCCAATTGTGTTTTATAAAATAAAAATAAAAATAAAAAGTAATTTAGATATGGTAGTTTTACGAAAACTGTGAAGTATGGACGTGTGTATATTGAATCTGTATTGATATATATATATATATATATATATTTCAAATCTTACCTAATCAAATATTTGCAAAACATATGAAACATATTCGTTTTTATGACTTTTACATAAACATTAGATTGTTTAAGAGTTCTATATCATGTATATCACATTGTGTAATTTTTGTAAATTCATATGCGAATTTTGGTTGGCCGTGAGATATTATTTTTGATTAACTGTTTAGTAGTGATTCGTAATATGATATTATGTATGCTTTGATGGGTTACAGATTGCATTATTGTTAATAAATAAATAAAGTTTTAAAGGTAGACAAATATTTATTTTTGTAGTCCCAGTTGGAAGATTTTTGAATCAATAAGGGTGATACTGCCGAAGTGGTTACTTATTGAGATTTAAAGTGATTTACCAACACTACAAGAAATAACAGTTTTGCCAACCAAAATATAGTCGCGAAAGGTTAGATTTTTAGTCGCCAAAACCATTTAGCGACTAAATTTTTTTGTCGCCAAGTTAGTCGCCTAAACTCTGTCGGCGAATGTTTTAGCGACTAAATGCGTGTTTGGTCACTGAAAGTGCACATTTGGCTACTATTTTTTTAGTCGGCAATGTTACCTTTTAGCTACTAAATTTTATTTGGTCAGCAAAAAAAAATGTTTTGGCTACGAAATTATTAGTCGCCAATAGTCAATTTTATTTTTTAAAATTATACATTTACCTACCATTACTCAAGGAATCGGCGACCAAACTTTTTAGTCGCCAAAAGGTCATACGTGAAAAAAAAAAAAATTACACTCACTAACTTTTCATCTGCTCTTATAGAGATTCGAACCATCAACCTCACACACCATAAACTTTATACAACACACTTTTTCCACTACGCCTCTACAATACCATATAATTATATATGTAACATATATTATTTATATAGTATATAGACCCGCATTAATATAAAAGTATATATATAAATATAATTATTTTTTATTGAACATAATTTATGTAAAAATAAATTATTTACTAGAAAAAAAAGAGACTACTTTTGGCGACTTTAGTCGCCAATTCTATACTTTTGGCTACTAATTTTTTTAGTCGCTAAAAAATTTAATTCCCATGCTAAAATTACTACTTTTGGCGACTAAACTTCTTTTTAGTCGCCAAAAAGCCTCACTTTTGGCTACTAAATTTTTTTAGTCGGTAAAAGCATCACATTTGGCTACTAAATATCTTTTTAGTCGCCTAATGCCTCACTTTTGGCTACTAAAATTTTTTTAGTCGGTAAAAACATCACATTTGGCTACTAAACATCTTTTTAGGCGCCCAATGCCTCACTTTTGGCTACTAAATTTTTTTTAGTAGCCAAAAGCCTTACTTTTGGCTACTAAAATATTTTTAGTCGGTAAAAGCCTTATATCGGCGACCAAACAGATTGTTAGTCGCCAAAACCTATACTTTTGGCTACTAAATTTTTTTATTTTTAGTCGGCAAAGCCTATACTTTCAGCGACAAAAGGTGTTTTTTTAGTCGCCAAAAATGCTTTTTCTTGTAGTGCAATAAGAATTCTAGGAAGCTCTTCTAATATTATATCACTCAATTACCTACCCAGAGGAGGTTAATTGAGTGTATTAATTTTAGAGGTGGTGTGAGCCGCTAGTAAGGAAAATTTTATTGTTTTTGAAAGAATTTATCTACCCAAAGGAGATAATTTCTTGATAACTCATTCTTGCTAGTTGACTTGTTTATAAGTGTTAGAATGTGTCTTATATATTTAGCCCAAAGGTATTTATATGATGATACATTCTGAAATATCTAACAATATTGTTAAAGTTTATTTGCAGCCCATTGTTGTGAGATTATAATTATTGCCTATGTATAATTAATTAAGATTATATTGAAATTTAAAGATGTTGATTGTATTCTATATATTCAACCCAAAGATGTTTATATAGTGATACATTCTGCCACATCTGAGAATATTGCTAAAGTTTATTCGCAGCATATTCTTGTGAGATTATACTAATTGCCTATGTATAATTGAAAGTTGGAGTTGTGAACATGCCTTTTATATATTCAGTTCAAGAGTGATACATTTTAAATATTTGAGATTATTATTGTCCATATATAATTGAATGATATTATATTGAATTGAAAGCAATGAAGGGAGATATTTTTATGAAAATCAAATTTACTCCATTAAAGTTTTGACTATGAATCGGTTAAAAGATATTGAGTTAGCTTTAAGACTAACTGATTTAGATATTGACATACTCGAGAATGTGTCTTCTTAACTATTTATATTAAGATCTCAATATAGTGTGAAAGATTGAAATTATATTCAATGTTAACTATTTAAGAAAGTAGAGTTTTAAAATATTCACTAGGTGATTCTTATAAGAAAATCTAAATTATACTCTACAATGTTCTATATAATACCTTCGACTTTTATAAATTGTTATCTCTCTTTAGTGTTTTATGTTTTCCTTTTCAGAATGTTCCGTAAATCTCTTTATATATTATTAACTCCAGTAAAAAAAATTCTTTAGAATTTTTTGTGAGTTATGACGCTCTTCCCACCTTCAGAATCTCCTTATTTATTTTTTAAACTGCTTAAAAAAAAATGCTTGTGTTAATCAAAATTTTATTTTCTGGTCAAGTTATTTAAGTTATAATTTAGTATTGATCTTATTTTAAAGAATGTTATTTTTATATTATCCATGAGATACAATTCAATTTTAATGTCAACAAAATAAGCATTGTTATTATTTTTAGTTTTGGTAATAAATAAAATAAAAATAATAATAATTGAAATAGATTTTCATTTATCATAAGGTGTGTGGGAGAAATTATTTTATTAATTTCATAAATGAGTATTGATGTTATGCATTTGTCTAATCTCATTTATGTTGAAAAACACACTGATAAAGAATTTAAAATTATTAATTGAAGATCGATATTATAGTGAACATGATAATTTTGGTTAATGTGCATAACCGCTTATTAATTTTTTATAAAATTGTGGGATCAATTTAAATATATCATGCTTGTAACTTCGAAAGAAAGTTGAGTACTTGAGCGCCATAATTGGACTCCAATAAAATGATGAGGTGTATGTTAACATGTTTAAATTATACAAGTTTTTGTGATAAAATATTTTTAATTGCTATGTATACTTGTGTATACTTTACATATGGTACTAAGTTAAAAATATTTTTAAAACACTTTTGAATTGCGAACTAATATAAAATTTAGTT